GAACATTTGGTCACTCTCTTTAGGCTTGGGAAATTTGGGTAAAGAGACAAATAGTTCTGTCTTCAGTACTTGTTGCTTCAGTGAAGAATATGTAGCTTTACTGAGCTTCTATTTTTCAAAAATCTCAACAGCTTCCTGTGTTCAAGACTCTTGCCAGCTTGGCTTCCCAGTGCCAGAAGGGATGGATCTCCTTGTTATAACAGGATAGGATTGGGTTTTCCTTGGGTTATAGGAACCCTGAGTATCAGCTCGTTCTGACCTTGTAAAGAATCATCACTACTGCAGATCCTAGAGGAAGAGGCAGGTCTTTGGCCCCAGACTTGTTCTTCTCCATTTTTCAATTACATGGAGTGTTTATTCTTAATTTGACTGAGATCTTAAAGATCTGAATCTTTTTCTGATGGCTTGCTTCTCTAGGCTCTTTTTCTGATGGTTTGTTTCTCTGTATCTCTTATAAGCATTCCCATGGGGATTGCTATTCTCAGAGTTTATGGATGGCCTTCTAGGACATGACCTCATCCAGGAAACAAAATGTTCCAGTATATGGGCCTCTAGTCAATGGTTAAATATGAAATAGTAAATTTTAACATGAAAAATGAAAAGAGATATAATTCCCAAAACAATTTCTAATACCCTGGATTTTTCATTTAGTAGTCAGTAAGGAGCTGGTCCAGTCCACAGCTTGCTTTCATGGAGAATCTGGAACCAGCCTTAGGTGAAATTCCATTACCAAGAATTAGACGACAAAAAAGGGCTTGTTGAGCCAGTATACAGTTCTACTGGAATAGGAAACAACAAAAACTGTGACTAGTCATAGCCCCAGGGGTGTTAGCTCTCTGGTGATGACTGTGAAGATTTTTTTCCTAGCATGTGACTTAAGGACAAGCAGCTTTTGATTCCATTCTACATTATTATTTGGACTGCAAGTAAGTAGTAACAGCAAGGAATACCAAAATCAAAGCTAGAGGTTTACAAAGCAATGGCACAACTACCCAATCTGCTGTTTCAAAATGACCAGAACACCAAAAAGATGCCATCTGTGGAATTTTATGGCTGCAGAATTATGAGTCACTCTCCAAGTGAATAGTGAATGTCTCCAACAAGGCACTCTTGAAATGAGATTTGGACCTCCTTTCTTCCTCAGTTGGAAGAGGAAGGGGAGAGAGAGAGAGTCCAAAGGTAGTGAGCTGGCTCATTTACTGTCAGTGTGGGGCAGAGGATGTCAAACTGCATGTCGCAGAACCCCAGATTGTGCCTTAAGGATTGTGGGGTGTGTGGGGAAGCCGAGAAGAAGTGTGAAAGGGCTACAGGTCTTCTCTGTTTCAACAAGAGTACTTCTCCTTTGATCTGTTTTATTTATTTGATAAAGAAGTTTCACATCTTTAAAAGAAAGTGTGAAAGCCACTGCCCTAGAGGAAACCACTAAAACCAACAGTGCTGCCTAGCCCTAGAGAGAGCTTAGGATAGCATCTTTGCTATAACTCCTGGATAGGCAGTTAACATGCCGCAGCTTGAGCCCCACATCGGACAGACAGGTTCTGCATGGAATTAACTAAACTCTGCTATACCAGTGTCTCTCTGATGGTCTCAACTTCTCTGTGCCAGAAAGTGCACATGTCTGAAAGGAGAGCATATCCTTCCCAAGGGTTACAGCTGCAGCTAGGAAGAGAACAGGAACAGAAACAGAACAGCACAGTTACAGCTGCAACTAGGAACAGAAACTGGATGGAGTAGGTCTGCCAAGCAGATCCGTGGGCAGCTCTAGAGTGAATGCCTGCTGGACTTCTCCGGCACATTGGGCATGATCTCTACACTGGGCACCTGGCCAGGGGGCTGCAGAATGGACAGCAGTGGGCAGAAGGTCACTGGAAAGGGAAAGACATTCCTGTGTGGGTCAGTGCAATACAAGGTTAAATTGCTATAACATGGTATTAAGCAAAGCGTCTAGTTTCTATGCTAGATCAACTCACAGAGTGCTGGAAATAACTTGAGAAGGAAGAATCCAAGGAAGGCTGGTCGCAGGTTGAATGTCGAGCTGCTCATCAGAGAGATAACCACAGGGCACCTTAAGTTCACAGGGCTTGTATCCCCCAAACCTGGAATTTCCAACTTCTGCCAGTACTATTGGAGAAATGTGAAAAGGAAGGGGCAGATGGCACACTCTGAATGTCTAAACCATTCCTGGGTTTCTAGCTACAGCACTAGTGGCCAGGTTCAGGTATCACTTGGTTGTCCTTCTCCAGTCTCTTAATCCCTATTCAGCCTTATGAAGCCTAGAAAATGTATGCTGTACCCAGGGAGCTATGTACCCCAGCAGCACATGAAATTTGTTTTCCTTATTCTAAATGGAAATAGCTGCTCTACTACATACCCTTGATCACTCAAACATCAGTCTATTAGGGTATCTTGTCCTTAAAACTTTCACACACATCTCTCCTTGTGTTGGTCAAACATCACCAGGTAAGCTGTGCACTGCCTAGCTCCCTGCCCAGGGGCCCCAGGACAACTCAGGGGCACTAGACACACCTTCTGCAGGATCCTGGTCAGAATGGCCTTCAGGATCACCATCAATGAGCATTAAATCTATGCAGCTACCTCCCACTATCAGAGCTGGCTTTCTTAGATCCAGGAACTAAGAGGTAAAACTAATTTAAATAGAAGATCGTACGTGGTTGTGTTTCTAGTACATCAGTGCATCCTAAGACATTGCACCCCAGACATATGTCCACCATCTGGGAAGATGATGCTCTACAAGGAAAACGATGCTTGATTTGACTCTTCCTAGGGAACAGACCTCCCTCCCCATCCCCAACTTCCCAACTGCTCCTCTAGAAATTCTCCATTAAGAAGTTAGTTCCTTCCACTCTTTCCCTCAAGCCACTATTCTGAGACATGTTTATAAATATGAGGATAGAACATTTCTCTTCCTCTCAACCTTAAGCCTGAGTAGGGGCTGTGCCCTCAGGTTGAGGATCAAGAAAGAATAGTGAAGTTGGTGAAGAAAGACTTAGCTAGTACATAGATTTACTCTATTCTTGAGTGTTTACATCCTAGAGTTGAAGAGCTCACAGCTTTCTGGGATGACTTCTTTATGTTTAGGTCCCAGCCTGGTGCCATCAGTTCCCATGGCCAAACAGGTACAGTTTGGGTCACACTTGTCTCTCTTTAATGCAGCTAGCAGGATGGGAAGACCAGGGGCTGTAGTTGAAAGTCAAAGCCTAGTAGAGGGTTGTCATTGAGGCACAAACACTCAGCGCCTCTCCTTGCCTTGCACTTAGCCTGCCCTCCCTCAGGACCCTCCTCACCTCCTCAGTGAGTAGGGTCTTGAGTACAGTCCTCTAGGGAAGGGGGATTCCACATAGGGGAGAGGAGGGACTGCTGTCTCTGTGGTGACTCCAGCAGGAACTCCCTTTGGGGAGCGTTGATAGGTACTGAGTGGAAGGAGTCAGCCAGCCAGCTGTGGGGAGGGGATCCCCAGTGTCCCCATACCTGCAGAGGCTCTTTTATGATTATGGAGACAGGGCTGGGGAGGGAGGTCAGGTGAGATGGAGCGATTATTCCTCCAGCATCCTGCTCTTTGCCTGTTTTCTTCAAATGAAATTCTCTACATCATCTTCCCAGTTTCAACCCCTCCCCTCTCCACCCCCGCCCCGCCCTGTGCCCATCCCTGCTGGCCACTGGGTCCATCGCCCAGGAGCCGCCTCCCCTTTCTCCTCCCCTGCGGTTCTTTCTATTTTTCCTTGGCATCTGGCCGGGCATAGCCACCTCCCTCCCCCTCACTCTCCCCACATCCCTCTGCTCCGCAGAGGTCCTGTTTCCTCTCCCCACTTCCCCAGCCCAGCCCTCCTCTGACAGGGGCGGAGGAGACTGGAGGATGAATTCCTTTAGTCCCTTCGTAGCCCGCCCTCCCTCCTCCAGGGACCTGAGGCTCTGAGCTGTGGCTTCCTTCCTGGTCTCCCTACAAACTGCCCCCTGCCACCCCATTAACCATCAGCAGCCTTTAAGAAAGCTTAGGTGCCCCTTACAGCGCTGACCTACATAGCCCGGTACAGGGCGGGAGGGGCTCTTCCCCAGTCCCCTCACCCCTGGCCCCGCCTCCTTTTTCCCCCTACTCTTCCTTCATCTCTCTACCGTTACAAACCAAAGAAGGTTTGAGTTCCAGACAGGTCTAGGCAAGCTACCCTACCCCAAATTTGGGAAAACCAGTGCTTAGCCCAGGAAAGCTTTGGGTTTTCCGTGCATCCTCCTCCCCAAATACCTTGATGCTTCCTTCTGCCCAGCCTCCCCCCACCTCCTCCACTCCTGTCTGGGTTTCTTTCCCCAGCTTCTGCCACCGCTAGGGATATTGCCATCCCGGGGCCCCCTCCGCCCTGTGTTGTTGTTTTGCTCCAAGGAGAAGCCCCCCCCGTTCCTTGCCCACGCCCCCCTCCACAGCCTCACCCAGGCCCCCTTCCCTGCCCACTCCGAGCCCCGCCGCGGGTCGGGAGACGGGCGGGGGAGCAGAAATGTTTGCATACAGCAGTTTGGGGGATTGCACTGGCTACCCAACCCCTCCAGACATACATACACAAACACTCGACACACGCCCTGACTGAAACAGCGACAAATCTCACTCCGCCCCCAACACACACCGACACAGACATACACACAGATACTGACACAGAAAAGCAGAACCAGACACCAACACAGACGCGCACACCCAGACACACACACACGGACATCAACACATCCAGATCCCGGGTTGCTTATAATAGACCCAAACAGCGGGTGCACACGCAGACACACTCGACAGTGTACAAGGAGGGTGCACACCCGGCACACCCCACGATCCACAGAGACACGGATGCTCAGAGACAGACACCGGGGTATTAGCAGCGCCTGACGACTTTAACCCCTGGTTCCAAACAAAGCCCACAGGCTCCCTCCGCCCCCAGTGCCCATCGGAACCCCCGCCCCGGTCACTCCCCACCTCCCCTGGCGCCGCCCCCTCCCTCACTCACCGTCCTGGGAGAGGTTGGCCGCGCCGGGCGCCCAGCAGCAGGCGAAAAGCAGGAGCAGGGGCAGGGCGGAAGGGGCCCCCATCGCGCTTCCCGGCCGGCTCCCTTGCTGGGCGCTGGCGAACCTGGGTCCCCAGGGGCTGGGGCTGGGGAGGGGATAGACTACGACGCGACGGAAAGGGCGCCCCTGAGCCGCTTCGGAGCCCGGGGCCGAGGCGGGGACCGGGAGGGAGCCGGCGCTGCTGCAGTCGCGGGGATTAAATAGGGCGCTCGGAGCAAACCATTTGGTTGGAGGTGGAGGGGAGGTGACGGGGGGCTGGGCTGGTCGCGGGGGGGCCAGGCTGCCGCATTCCCCACTCCCCCTGCCTCCCACACCCCCTCCGCGCCATCGTGGTGCCTTCCACCTTCTCCCTCGGGAGCTCCGCCAGCCGTGCTCGGGTGTGGAGCAGAGGGAGGGAGCTAGCTCAGCGGTGGGACACGGCGAGCACCCCTCTTAGGCTTTGGGTGGCGAGAGGGGAGTCGGACAGGGCCGTGGGCCAGCTGGCGAGAGCGGCCACTGCAGGCCTGGGCAAGGGCGTGCCCACTAGCCCGAGATCCTCCAGTCCCGCCCTCCCTCCTTTGGCAGTTGGGGATCCCCATGAGCCCTAGGGTCCCCCTATCAACAGTGTGCCCAGGGACATCTCCCCAGTGGATAACCAGTAATCCTGACCATTTTCCTAAACGCTAACTTGTTCCGTAGACCCAAGAGCCCCTAGTTATCAGTCCAGCAACAATTTGTGGCCCCAGGCAATTTCCCTTGAAAGGCATCTTCTAGCAAACCTCCAGGCCACTGGAGTCAACATTTCCCTTAACCCCTTGTCCAAGAAATTACTCCCCCTCTGAAAACAATGATTTCACTTAAGACTTTTGCCCAACCAAGCAGCGTACAGAGCAACTCTTAATCCTTATTCCCAGCCTTTACTCCCAGCCCTTCCCCCCAATAATTTTTCTTCTTTCTTACTCTTTTAGAAGATCTTGTTTTTGTTTCTCAAGTTTTAGGGAGTAGATACCTAGGTGAATGGTCTGATCTCCAGACCCTCAGGAAGCTGTCCTCTTAAGGACCAGTGAATATGTGACTAATGTGGTTCTTGTCCCTGAGGCCAGATAGAAGATGGATGAGAGAGGTAGGGTGTCTGTATTTGCTCTTGGCTCAAGAGTCCCAAGTCCCTGGGGTTTGCTGTTCTTTGTGATTGAGTATCTGGAAGAGTCTTGGTACATCTCAGAAAAGGATCCTTCTGAGTCAATTTGCTCAAACTTAGCTTTTCGGAATAAATTTCTAAATTTTAGAACCTTTGAATCAAAGAATTTTACATATATAAGGATTCTTAGAAGAGATATGGTCCAACTACTTATTATACAGGTGGAGTTGGGGTCTAAATGGTATTAACTGACCTACCCAAAGTTATTTTTGTTGTTAGTGGCCTCAAATCGATTCTGACTCCTAGCAACCCTGTGTACGGCACAGCAGAACCCTGCCTGGTCTTTTTGCGCCATCCTTTCACCTTGCAGTGCTCTATCAGACAGTGTTCCACTGCTATTCATAGGGTTTTCAAGGCCAATTTTTTTTAGAAGTGGGTGGCCAAGTTTTTCTTCCTAGTCTCTTTTAGTCTGGAAGCTCTGTTGAAACCCGTCCACCATGGGTGACCCTGCTGGTATTTGAAATACTGATGGCATAGCTTTCAGCATCATAGCAACATGCAGCTGCCACAGTAGGGCAACCAACAGACAGGTGGTGGGGCTCCCTGACTGGAAAAAGGACCTGGGCCACGACAGCGAGAGCACCGAATCTTCACCAGTAGACCACCAGAGCTATCCAAGGTTATAGTGACAGTTAATAGTAGAAAACGTAAGTGTTTGCTAGGACGTGGAACAACATGATTTTTAAACTGGCTTCCAATCCTGTGAGGCCATATTTTGCCCCTAGATGAGGGATTTGGGTGTATGTCTTCTAACTCGTGGACCAGTCCCCCCTCTGCCTCACTGTGCTAATCCTTAATGTTTGGAGAGTCTTTCCCCCTCTCAGATAGGCTTTTTCGGCTCTCTGTGATGGACTGAATGTCTCTGTCACCTAGTAACTCAAGGACAAGGACATGGAGAGTACTTTGTAATCAGTAAAGCTCTATGTAAATGTTAGTCACTGATGGAGAAGCCAAGAGAATATTGTCTGGGAAGATCCTTCAGGATGGTCAGAATGCTGCCCCATTGTTTTTCTCTCACTGTTTCTAGAGTTTATCTCTGGTTTCTGGGAGAAGAGCTCTGCCTGCCTCTTGAACATCTCCTGAGTGTCTGGGTAGTTATTAAGAATTATTTGCAGGACGGTTTTTGACCACTTTGGGTTGCCTGACTTGCCTGCCTTGACATATCTCAGTGACTGCAAACCATTCTGCCTCCCTGGGGTTCTCTGACATCTTGAAATCTCTGAGAGGCAAAGATGGAGGGAGTAGTGTGGTTGAAGGATGTGAAGACCTGGATGTGAGAGAGACGAGAGGCTGGACTTTGGGCTTGGAGAGGAGGGGAGATAAAGGGAAGATTGGACTTACTGACAGAGGTGAGAAAAGGCTGGCATGAGTTTAGTCATGCAGAGAAAAGGAAGGAGTGGGTGTGTTTTCAAAGAGAGAGTAGACCTTCAGACGGGAAGGATCAGGCTAGCCTAGTTAAGAGTCTTGATGGATAAAGAGTATTATCTTTGGAGCTGGGAGAAGCCTTAGAGATCATCTAAGTGGGCTTAAGAGTGGACAGGTTAGTGATGGGGGGGTGGGTGGGGAGTGGGAGTGGGCATGGGTGGGACAGGGACGGCAGGATATGGGATTAGGTCCCAAGCTCCTCTAAAGAATCCTCTTCCATCTGCTGCTCTGCAGTGATCCCCTTCTGCCTATCCTCTCTGAATTCCCTAGTGACTCTGCCCCACCCTCTACTGTAACTGTGTGGGACGAGAACCAAGGGTGGCAGGAGAGGAAGAGAGCTCTTTTGGAGAGAGTATTAAGAGCTAGCAAATGAGACTCTGGAATGCTCTTTTCCTACTGGCTCCTTTTCCCTTTTCTGTATCATCAGCATCAGTTTGGCAGCACTTTAGGCCGTGGGAATAGGAAGCAGTCATTGGCTTTTAAAATTATAGAATAGAAGTATATTAGAATTATAAGGGACCTTCAGGATGACCTAATTAATACCCCTTCTTGAACAGATGAGGAAAATGAAACTCAGAGAAGTTAAGTGCCTTTCTACGTTCACAGAGCTTTATAGTGAAAGGGTAAGCTGTTGGATAGGGGAGGTAGAGAGCACCCTTAGGGGCAGGAGGAATAAGGAGAATTATTCCCAATGCTCCTCAGCAGTGTCCAGTTTGAGGAACACCTCACTCCTGTGTATCTCAGAGTGAAAGGGTGGTTCCTCCTACAGATGTGGATGTCTCTATTTGGAATACCTCCTTGCCTATAATCATTCTAATGCCCTTTGTACATGTGCACCCAGCATCTTACAGGCACCCTATTCACTAGGAATGAGTTTTACAAAGAAAGATTGACCTACAAGGATTATCTCCATCATGAAAATAGGTAAAATAAAAGCATCCATGTTGGTTGTGATCTCTATGGTTACTTTCCACTTTGAAATGCTCTGACATACAATATGCGTTTCCCGGAGACTTGCACAAAGTGTGGAGTAGGTTGTCTGTGGGATTAAAGAACTGGTAGCTACAGTGAAAACTGGGGGGAGCAGAGAAGGGGAGAGGAGAGGAGAGAAGGCGGGTCTTGGCTCCTAGATGTCCCTGTCCACTCAGCAACAGCCTGGGTAGCTGGGGGTGTGGAATGTCGTGCTGGCACTGGTGCTGGGCTAGACGCAGCTGTGTGGGCCCTGGGCATTCCTTGCCCCACGCTGCTCCTCTTGGGAGAGGAGAAGGAGGGAACTCAGCCTGGGTGGGTGAATACTACATATTCATCTGGAAGGAAGATGACAGTACCTGTAGGAAAAATCTCAGAAGACTTGGCTCAGTTCTGCTTTGCACTCCTAACCCTTCTTCTCTGTATGGCTTTTTCTTTATCAGTAAATTCTACACAGGTTTCCACATTGTTTTCCTCTTCAATTTTCCACCCAACTAAACCAGTACTCCTTGTACTGCTTCTGACTTCTATTATCCAGTTTTATTTAACCCTATCCTTAATAATATTCTCTGTATGCATTTTAATTCTAACCTTAATTGAATTCTAATTTTAATCCTAACCCTAATCTGTTACAGACTCTAACCCCTAATCCTAATACCGACTCCAATTTTATTGTCAATCTTAACCAGCATCTTAATTCTAACCTGTTATAAGCCAGTAACCAGGACAGCAACCTGCATATAATAAAAATGATCAGAAGTACCATTTACTGAGAACCTATTTATGCCAGAATTTGTGCTGGGTACTTTACATACATATCTCATTTAAGTGCCCTAAGGCACCTAACTAGCTGCCTTACAAATATGAGGAAGCAAAGGCTTAATGAGATTATGTAATTTGTAAATAGTGGATTTGGATCCACTACTTAAGGTCTGCTTGACCTTGAAGCCTGTGATGATTGCTCTTTCTGCCAACAAATACTTTTGATTGACCTTTTCCTAAAGTCCTAACTAGTTCTTACTAGAATTACCGCTAACATACTGAATTTCTTGAAAGTATATTATTAGGCTATTTTTTTTTTAAATACATAGTAGTGCAAAATAGAAACTAAACAAACAAACCAACAAAAAAGCCCAGATCTCCCTGCCCAGAAACTCCATTGACTCTTTAAAACATTAATATTTTTATAAAGTTAAAATAATCAAACTACAGAAATAAACAAACTTAAAGGAAAAGCCTCCTTCTCCTTCCCAGACTCGCCATATTGTGCCACCCCTGGGGGCATCATTTGCATTGCAGTTCTGCAACACAGCAGCCTTGCCCCCCACAGCACATTAGAAAGGCAGATAAAGTCAAGGTAAATATCTACCAATGATATCACCCTATACATGTGTGTGGTGTAGGCATGAGAATCACTAGACAATTTGAATTTATGATTAACAATAACTATTAAAGGCCAATGATGTGCCAGGTTCGAGACTAAGTTCCTTACAATTATTATACCTTTTAATATTCATGAGCTCTCTTTGCAGTATGCATTACCCCTATTTTACAGAAGACCACAAGGCCTGGAGAAGTCAAATGACTGGTACAAGAGCACAAAGATGGTGAATGAGAGACCCAGG